CCCCCCCGCCGAATAATTCCTGGACTTCCCTCCCCTGGTTTTGCGGGTCGAGCCCCCCCCCTGCCAGCGCAGGCAGAAAGTGCTCTTCCGAACGTTGAAATCGGCCGCCGAGCAGCGAGAACCGCCCGCTCCGACGGAAAAAAAAAAAAAACTGCCGCTGGAGCTCGAGCTGCGAAGAATACCAGACGAGGAAGAGGATGAAAAACTACACAAAAAACATGAACAAACACAAACTGACAGCACCACTCCACTCGAGAGGGCGCTCAGATTGAGCGGGGGCAGGGATGGGCTCGGCGAGCCCGAAGAGGAAGAGGCCGTGATGCACGCGGTCGCACCAGTGCGCTCTGGCCGCATGGACCCCGCGGAAGGCGGGGACGAATCGGCGCGGGACATCTCCAGCGCCAGCCTTTCGCACCACCAGAGCGGGACACGGCGAACTTCGAGGCAACGAGGGGAATCCCTAGCGAGGGACGATGTCAGCTTTCAGGGCGTTTGCCGCCTTCCTGTTGATGCCGACGCCAGGGAGGTTCTCGTCGCCAGGCTGCACATTAATCTGAGACGCCTCGAGCTCCTTGATATCGTAGAGCGTCCGTCGTGCACTCGTCATTCCAGATCAGGTAGAGGAGGCCCTTGAACACCTCGCTGCCGGGCTTCACGGATGGCCTCCACACGCCTCGGCCTCGTGGTCTGCCAGCATCCCAAGCGCCTGGCTACGACGCCTGACGCTCGGGGGGGGCGTCCTTCGCCTGGCCCGCGTCTGCGCGACGACGGGCGCCTAGGGGACCATTCCACAGAAGGAATGCCCTTGGCGCGCATCCGGTCAATGACGTCTGTTGCGAGCATGGGCTCCGAGCTTCCACCGTGAATTGAGTGTCCTTGCCGATCAGACCTCGAGTCGTCAACGCGCCCGCGTGCGCGGTCATGACCTTCGCGAAAGTCGGATGAGGGCAACCACCGACATACACCCGGCAAGGATTCGAATCGGCACCACCATAAGCATCATCACCATCACGTCCGCGGGCAGGCACCTGCGCGCGGGCGCGCTTGGCACCGATCATCGCCCATCCAGCCGCCGAGGATCCGTAGCTCGGAAAAGTGGGAGGGGCAATCAAATTGGCGACCTGCTTGGCGATTGCATCAGCACGTTCTTGAATAAGACGCAAGCGCTCGACGCTGTTGAGATTCATGAGGGCGTTCTGCGAAGCTGCATGTGTGAGATCTCGTCGAAGCGTTTTTCGAGCTCCTCGAAGCGTTCATTGTGTTTGAACAGCACATCCTTCATGATCTTCATCCCTTGCAGTGATTCCTCGAATTTGGTCATCCTCCCATTGATGGCGGTGATCCCAATCAGAATCTGCTGCAGCGCGGAAGCGTCGCCAACCGACATTGCAGCGAGCGAGTGAATGGCCGCAGACAAAATGACGCAGCGCCTGCCAGACCTGAAGGTCGGACAAGAATCGCGCAAGTGAAAGCAACCTGATGGCGGGACCCTCGAGCCAGCCCCTTGGCTGCGATCAACCTGCAGCCTCGGGGCGAAGGTTCCACCTTGAGCCAAAATGCCGATGGAAGGGCGGGGAGGAGGAGGACGAGGAGGACGAGGAGCAGGAGAAGGACGAGGTAGGAGAGGTGGAGGAGGAAGAGGAGGAGGAGGAGGAGGAGGAGGAGGAACGGAACGGAACAGACCAAAACGCTCATGCGGGCATTCGCCTGGGCTCCTGGTGCGCGGAGCGTCTGAAGCCATGGCCTCGCCGGAAAAGCCGAAAGACCCCATAGCCCACTCAGGATGCCGGTGTCGCTGGGATGCCGACTGACGTGAACGTAACGAAACATGTTTCCAACCGCTCCAACTCATCTGTCGCGGTCGATTGTAGCCACGTAGTGGCATCAAGGTAGTTGTGCTTGTGCGTTGTCTGGCGTTGGTTGTTTGCGGCGTGCAATTGGCAGCACAACTCACGGGTATCATGGTCCCATTTCTTCCACTGTCCTCCATGATGAACCTGCCTTCTGGTCGGTGTAGAGGCTCGGGTGCCAATGGAGAACACGTCCCGGCAATTCTAGTGCAGAGGCCTCCTAGATGGGATCGGAGTAGATGGGGACGGAGGATCGCGCCGCATCGCCGATGCATCGGCGATGCATCGGCGATGCACTGGCGATGCATCGTCGAGGTCGGCGATAAATCGGCGACGTCGACGCGAAGCGAATCGGGCTGCACATCGAGCCGCATCGGCAATGCATCGGCGATGCGGCACGATCCTTCGACCCCATCTGCTCAGACCCCGATTGGGAGGCCTACATAGATTAGAGAGAACGCGTTTCACGGGCGCTCGCCTTGGGAACATTCGGCGGCGCGTTTCAAAGCGGGGGGTGGCCCCCCCCCCCCAACACTCGGCGCCGTCGATCAAAAACAAAGGGGGACCCCCTCCCTCACCCCCACACCCCCCCCCCCCCCCCCCCAGAACCCCCCCCCCCCCCCTCCCCAAGGGGGGGCTTTAAAAACCCTGCCCCCCCCCACCCTCCCTCTGCGCCGGGCCGCCGCCCGCCCCCCCCTCCCAAGGGGGGGGGGTTCAAAACCCCTCCCCCCCCCTCGGCGCCAGCGCTGGCGGCGGCCAGCAGCGCGGCGCTGGCCTGCGGACTGGCGGGGACGCAGCGACTCTGCCCACCACTACCACCACCACCACCACCACCCCCCCCCACTTAACACTACACCAACCACCACCACCGACGATCAACCCCACCAACCACCACCACCACCAACAACGGCACACACAACCACCGCCACCACCACCGCAGCACACCACCACACGACACCACCGCAACCACCATCACCACCACCACACCACCACAAAAACCCACCACTATACCACACCACCATTACACACCACAACCACCACCGCCACAGCCACCACCACTACCAGCAGCACAACCCACCGCCACCACCACACACCACCACACCACCACCACCCCCACCACCGCCACCACAACAAACGTCCACAAACCACCGCCACCACCACAACCCACCACCACCACCACCACAAGCCACCACAACCACCACAACTCACCATCACCACCACCACCACAAAAACCCACCACTACCACCACCACCACCACCACCACAATCTACCACAATCTACCACCACCGCCACAAGCACCACCACTACTAGCAGCACAACCCACCACCACCACCACAAACCACCACCACCGCGACCACCACCACCACAAGCACCACCTCCACAAACCACCGCCGCAACCACAACCCACCACCACCACTACCACAAACCACCACCACACTACCACCAAACCACCACCACCACCACAACCCACCACCACCACCACCACAAACCGCCACCACACCACCACCAAACCACCACCACCACACCCACCACCACCACACCACACCACCACCACACCAACCACCACCACCAACACCACCCACCGCCACAACCACCACCACCACCGCAACAAACCGCCACACCACCACCACCAAAATCACCACCACCGCCACCACCACCACCACCACAACCCACCACCACCACCACCAGTGTCGTCCTCGTCGACGCTTCCCGCCACCGCCGCCCGCCGCCACAGGCGCCGGCGCCGGCCAAGAAATGGAAATCGTCGTCCCCGCCGCCGTCGCCAGCCGCCGCCGACCCAAGCGCAGCGCCGGCCCGAGGAGGAGGGAAGCAGGGGGGGGGTTCGGTTCCAAACCCCCCCCCTCCAAGCGACCACAGAACGCGCTCTTTCATAGATTACGACAGCTCAGTCGCAACCTGGGCCGCGCATCTCCATACCACCTTTTGCTGTTTTGTCGCCCAGTCGTGCAGTTTGTGCTTGTGCATGAGATTCATCTGCTTGTCCAGCGGCCCGCTTGCTGTCTTCTACCCATGGTTCCAGTCCGTCGCTCCCAAGCTGGCCATGCTTATCGTCTCTGCCGTCGTGTTCTGCGTCGCTGGTTTCGTTGTTCAACTGGGCGGTTGGAGGGTGGCTGCCTCCATCCTCGCCATCGGTGCTCTCCGCGCGAAGCTCTGGAGCTGGCTCCGAACGTGCCTGTTGGGGACCGGTCGCTCCTTGTGTTGGTCTAATGTCGGCGTGTCGTCGTCGATGGGGCGTCGATGACCATGCGCAGCATGCGTCGTTGTGTGCGTTGCAGCTGATGTCGAAGAGGCTCTGTCAATTTCCAGGCACCTGTGCCAAAGGGTATGATCGGTGTGACCGTGCAGGCACATTTTTCTGCGTCAGTGGACGCTGTGCCGTTAAAGCTAATGCAATTGCCCAGGTACTTGACTGAACCAGTGTATGGCAGTACCTCGATCTTCAAGTCGCCGATGTTCACCATGCGCTGCCGTGCCCTCCCCGTCCGTTCAGGCAAGTTGGACACGATATTCGTCCTGTCGGGATGCATGCGGAGTCCATGTCTGTGCGCTGCCGTGGCCATGTCCTTGAGCACGGCGGCGACACGAGGGAAAGTCCGGCTCACGAGGAGGAGGAGGAGGAGGAGGAGGAGGAGGAAGAGGAGGATGAGGAGGAGAAGAAGGATGTGGAGGAGGAGGGAGAGGAGGAGGAAGAAGAGGAGGAGAAGAAGGAGGAGGAGGCAGGCAGGAGGGAGGAAGAGGAGGTAGGGCGGGGAAAACGTGCAGGCACCGAGTGAGGAGGGGGAGGAGGAGGAGGAGGAAGGAGGAGGAGGAAGGAGGAGGAGGAGGAGGAGGAGGAGGAGGAGGGAAAGAGGAGGAGGAGGAGGAGGAGGAAGAAGACTAGGAGAGGGAAGACTCGGAGGAGGTGGGGAGGAAGACCCACCCTCGAACCTCGAGCCTCGCCCAACCGAGGCGGGGCGTTCCTCGGCCCCCGGGCCACCGAGGCCCTGGCGGCCTGGCCACCCGTGCGGATCTTCGTGACGATGACGCGGCCGGCGTTCGTGTAGCACAGCGACAAGATGTCCTCGGCGGGCCGCTCGTGCTCCCGGTACCGCACCTGCGGGGGGAACGGCAGGCGATGGCTAGTTGCCGGGAGGCGGAGGGAGGGGAAGAGGAAGGGCAGGAGGGGGGGGGAGGGGGAGGAGGGGGAGGAGGAGGAGGAGGAGGAGGAGGAGGAGGAGGAGGAGGAGGAGGAGGAGGAGGAGGGGGAGAGGAGGAAGGAGGAAAGAGGAGGAGGAGGAGGAGGAAGAGGAGGAAGAGGAGGAAGAGGAGGAGGAAGAAGAGGAGGAAGAGGAGGAGGAGGAGGAGGAGAAGGAAGTGGAGGAGGAGGGGGAGGAGAAGCAAGTTGAGGAGGAGGGGTAGGAGAAGGAAGTGGAGGAAGGGGGAGGAGAAGCAAGTTGAGGAGGAGGGGTAGGAGAAGGAAGTGGAGGAGGAGGACTGTTCGCAGGCACGAGTGGGCACGAGGCCCGTGCAGATGCCAGTCGGCATCGGGAGAGGGGCGCTCGGGAAGCGGAGTGAGGCACGAGAGGGCGGGGGCAGGCAGGAGGGGGGCGGCACAGGAAGAGAGACGGGCCTTGCGCGGTGGCTTACGCGGGCCGCCGGCGCGGCACGCCACATTGGAGACTAGGGCAGTTACGCGCGACCCTGCGCGGGCAACTTGCGCGCCGGCGCAAGCGACCCCGCTGTTTTACGTCGCTCGTATGGATTGGAGAAATGCCCCCAGTACTTCACCTGAGGGGAAACGATTGGCGATGGGTTCAAAGGCAACTCCCCGGAGGGCCCAAAGCATATACCATCCGTCGTCTGGAGAAGATCAAGACTTAGGTTCTTCGTAACGCTTGGCCTCTCAAGGCCCTCGCCAATCCCCGGAATGTAAAACAACGACTCAGGATGAACATCTGCCCCTTGGGAAAAGATCGGGACCTCCAAGGACTCCGCGCTGAAAACACCCAGCTGATGGTGTCTGGTGTCTAAGTCTTCGTAAGAAGAAGGATGAAGGGCGACCAAGCCCGATTCAAGATTCACAAATAAGCCAGATTTGGCCAGACGAAGCCCAGGACCCAACACGATTGAGCGGGATGGGGCAAGACTTAGCGGAACTAAATGGTACTCTGGCGCATTAGCTCGGTTCTTGACTAGTGCTGAACTTAACCTCCCAGAAATTGCAACCAAAGATCGGGGAGGGTCCACTTCTGGCGGGTCGACCTCGGCTCCCGGGGGCTGCCATCGGCCCCAGGACCACCACAGCTGGATCCAGGCCGGAAAACTGAGCCACGGAAAGGGTCCGGGGTCGAGGGGCAGCGTTGGGGCCCAGCTGCCCAGATACGCAAAACGCCTCGCGCCATTAGCGCATTGACAGAGGAGCCCAACACACAAACTGAAAACGCAGGTCTGACGCGAGACGTTCGCCAAGAGGTGGGCCAACGTGCGACGTATTGGCACCAACGTTTTCAAGCACGGTACGTGCTGTGTTGGAGGAGGAGGAGAGGAGGAGGAGGAGGAGGAGGAGGAGGAGGAGGAGGAGAGGAGGAGGAGGAGGGAGGGGGAGGGAGGGGGAGAGAGGGGGAGGAGGGGGGAGGAGGGGGAGGAGGGGAGGAGGGGGAGAGAGGAGGAGGAGGAGAGGAGGATCTCAGGGTGGTGGGTCGTGGTCACCGGGGCAGCTGAGCTCTATAGGGGCGTCGAGCCCCGGGGGGGGGGGGGAACGTCGTGCTCGGACAGAACACGTGGGCGACACAACCCGCAGGGAGGTGCCCAAGGTAGGAAGGCACATAGGAAGGCACCAACATACACCAACATCGATCATGGCCAGGCTGGGCCCAGGATCGGTGTATACGCCCTCCTGCCTTGCGCAAGAAGGCATATACACCGATCCTGGGCCCAGGATCACCCTGGGCCAGGATCGGTGTTGGTGTATAGTTGGTGCCCTCCGACAGACAGAACATGTGGGCGACACAACCCGCAGGGAGGTGCCCGAGGTGCCTGCACGAATGCACATGCAGTCGGACCTCGCAACAGGAATGGCAGCACGGACGCGCCCCAGGCGTCACATCTTCGCCGCGGGTTGCGAGGTGCCTCGGGGGGGGGGGGAGGGGGAAACGTCGACTTGGAGTCGGCGGTACATCGCCGAGGGGTCGGCGACAGGCCCCCTCCTTGTAGAGAGCCCGCACGTCCCGGGGCGCGGTGGGCCCCGGGGCGCGGTGGGCCCTGGCGGGCCCCTGCCGGTGATCACCGGGCGACTTGGGTCGAGGCACTCCCGCGGTGGTCTGCGGGCCACTCCTCGGGCGCCCGGCCGCCGCTCGGGACGGTGTGTGGGCACCGCCCGGAGGGCCTCTCGGCGAGGCGCAGCTGCTGGAGAGCACCCCGGGACTGGGAAGCCGCCGAAGACCAAGGGAAGCGGCAGAACATCTCGAGCCTCGAGCCTGTGCTCCTCCAGTTGGCATGCGACGATGCGACTTTCTCAGTGCGCGGCCCCAGAAGGCCCCGAGTCCTTCCCCGGGGGTAGTTTTCCGTCCCCGATGTTCTGTTACCCCCAGAGGCCAAGAATCGAGGGAAAACGCCGCGAATGAAATAAACTGATCGTCGGAGATATGGGCCGTTTCTGGGCGGGGCGGGCTACCAGGCGCGCCTATCGCCGATGCATCGGCGATGCGTCGGCGCTGCATCGGCGACGTCGGCGCCGCATCGCCACCGGGGTGGCGAGCATCGGGCGTTGCATCGAGCCGCATCGCTGACGCATCGGCGATGCGGCGCGATCCTCCGACCCCATCTGCTCGGACCCCATCTGGGAGGCCCAGATGGGGCCCACAAGGACATAATACGTGGTAGTTACTATATGTTATCCTTGGATACGTGCGTCCGACCCGAACATGTAGTATTACCATCTTGTAGTACATCGTTTCCCGAGCGGTATGGCGGGAAAGCGCCCGCCACGGAGCTTGTACTATGAGATTTCTCGGCGAGCGCGTCGCCCCTGCAGGGGGCGAAGCACACATAGCGTTAGTATGTCTAATTATGTGACGCCGACCAGACCCTAGCGTTTCGGCGTCTCCGAAGGGTGTGGGTCGCAAAGGGTGTGGTTTGCAACCGGCACCCCGGGTGGGGCACCTCGGGGGGGGCGGGCGAGGACCTCGACGGAGCTCTCCGCCGCGCCCCGAAAAGTCCCGACGGGGACAGTGTCGTGCCTCCCAGGCCCCAACGGCACCGCTCGCAAACCACGCCCTGGCGTAAGCCCTTTGTAGTCGCCGAGCGATGCCCCTCGTCACCATGCGGCACACGGCGCCGGTGAGCGGCTGCCTGCTGAAGAAGTCTCCGTCGCCCTGCAGTTCCTGGTCAGAGAAGGGCGGCTCTGCCTCCCTACCTCAATCCCTCCTCTCCTCATCCTCTTCTTCCTCCTCTTCCTCCTTCTCCTCCTCCTCCTCCTCCTCTTTCCTCCTGCTCCCCTCTCCCTCTTCCCTCCTTCTCCTCTCCTCTCTCCTCCTCCTCCTCCTCCTCCTCCTCCTCCTCCTCCTCCTCCTCCTCCTCCTCCTCCTCCTCCCTGATTACTACTCGCATTCTTAATATTACTGTTATGCTTCTCCTCCTCCTCCTCCTCCTCCTCCTCCTCCTCCTCATTGTCATTGCCATCGTCATCCTCTTCCTCCTCCTCCGCCACGCTTCCCCATGACTAGCAATTTCCGTCCCGCAGCCCCCCCCGGCGAGTCGGCGGGGGCGGAGGTGGGGAGACGTGGCCAAGACCTGGCCCTGGCCCCGGCGCCGGGCATGGGCGTTACAAGAAACTGCAGCAGCGACGAGGACGGGCACCGTCTCCGACAAAGGGGGCTCTCTCGACCGCGCGCTGCGCACGCGCGACGAGACGTTGGCGGCGGCTCTTCGGAGGTGAAGGCGGCTCCTCTCGGGAGTGGGGCTCTCGCCCCGGCGCCGGGCACGCTCGCCGCCGCTGCAGAGGGGGGGGGGGGCTTTCGAGATGGGGCTCTCACCTCCAGCGCCGCGCGCACTTGTCCCGAGCGTCCGCGGAAGCTGCGAGGGGCGGAGGAGGCGGTGTGGAGCACGTGGCTCTCGCGGAAGACCGCCTCGGCTCTCGCGGCCAGAAGTCCGCACACGCGGGGCACCAGCACGGACGGAGGGCGAATCATTCTCAGAACGAGGAGGAGGAGGAGGAGGAGGAGGAGGAGGCTCTCGCTGTGGACCTCTGGGACTCGAAGACTGCGCGGTCAGAGCTATCGACGTGTGCGGCACGCTGCGCGGATGGGGGCGGCTCTCCTGCAAAACGGGGTCCCGACTGGACACATCGCTGAATTCTATGGCCCTGCCTTTCCGCATTTCCTGCGAGACTCGCTGGGAGAAGGGTGTAAGGCAGTTGCGTCTCGAAACGGGGCTCCAACCCGAGTAGCAGACCCATGCTTTCTCGCTTTTGCACGGGGGCTTTCCTGTGTGGTTTGTGATGACGAGGATGGCCTGTCGAGACTTCTGAGGACGGGACTCGGGACGGGAGGGTGCACGGCAGCATCACTGACGTGCCACCTGGGTGTATTATAATCCTCTCCTCCTCCTCCTTCTCCTCCTCTTTCTCCTCATTCTTCTTCTTCTTCCTCCTCCTCCTCCTCCTCCTCCTCCTCCCCGTCCTCCTCCTCCCTCTCCTCCTCCTCCTCCTTCCCCGCCCCAAATATCCTCCTCCTCCATTTCTTCCTCCTCCTCCTCCTCCTCCTCCTCTCATCCTCCTCCTCCTCAGTCTCATCCTTACCCCTCCCTTCTCTCTCCTCATCCTTCATCATCATCATCATCATCATCATCAGCATCAGCATCAGCCTCAGCATCATCATCATCATCATCATCATTCATTCATCATCATCATCATCATCATCATCATCATCATCATCAAAATCAAAATCAATCATCATCATCATCATCATCATTCATATCATCATCATCATCATCATTCATCATTCATCATCATCATCATCATCATCATCATCATAATCATCATCATCATCATCATCATCATCCTACTCCCCTCCTCCTCCTCCTCCTTCCTCCTCTCATCCTCCTCCTACCTCCTCCTCCTCCTCCTCCTCTTCCTCTCTCCTCCTCCTCCC